AAAAAAAAAAAAAAAAATTTGTTTTTCTTCTTCTTAAATAGTAAATCTGTAACATCATGGGCACAAAAACTGAAGCAGAACCAACCAAAGAGAGCACATGTAGAAGATGGAGGTTCAAGATCTAAACAAGGAAATGAGCAAAGCAAGAAGACACCAATTGAGAAAGTAGGTGACAAGTCACTTTCCCTGCGGGCTCTAATACTGATGATTATGTGGGTTTAGTACACACTCATGAAAAAAATTCTTGTGCCCTTTCTTTTGTATTGTTAATTTGTTATTTATACATCTTTTTTTTTCTTTTTTGAGATGGAGTTTCGTTCTTGTGGCCCAGGCTGGAGTGTAATGGTGTGATCTTGGCTCACTTCAGCCTCTGCCTCCCAGGTTCAAGCGATTCCCCTGCCTCATTCTCCTGAGTAGCTGGGATTACAGGCACCTGCCATCATGCCCAGCTAATTTTCGTATTTTTAGTAGAGATGGGGTTTCACCATGTTGGCCAGGCTGGTCTTGAACTTGTGACCTCGGGTGATCCACCCACTGCGGCCTCCCAAAGTGCTGGGATTACAGGCATGAGCTACTGCTCCTGGCCCATTTATACGTCTTTCTTTTGGTGTTTCAGAGGATTAGAAATCATTGCTGTAAATGTTGCTTTAGTAGACTGGAAATCAAAGCTAATAAGGGATAAAATATTATTAAAATGAATCATTTCCAAAGGTCCTATTTCTCTTTGTGCTGCAAATGTTTACATTTAGCCAGAGAGTAATCCATTTAATTGTTTAAAACAAACTTTCAAATAATTTGTACTACTATTAAGTTATAAGAAGTAATACTGTAATCTTAAAGTTGAATACTTTAAGATGCCTTTATGAAATTTGGATAGTTCTGAATTTATAATCAAAATTATGAGAGATTAAATGTTAAAATTCTGTATGGCCCTTTTGCTAACCTAGCAGCTACTTTAATTAAAATATTATAGATATTGAATTAGGTTTTTAAAAAATTATTTACATTTGAGTTTCAGATAATTAAGATCTAATTTTTTTTTTTTTTTTAATTTTTGAGACAGAGTCTCACTCTGTCGCCCAGGCTGGAGTGCAATGGCGCGATCTCTGGTCACTGTAATCTCTGCCACCTGGGTTCCAGTGATTCTTCTGTCTAAGCCTCTCGAGTAGCTGGGATTATAGGCGCCTGCCGCCATACCAGCTAATTTTCGAAGTTTTAGTAGAGATGGGGTTTCACCATCTTGGCCAGGCTATTTTGTTTTTCTGAGATGGAGTCTTGCTCTGTTGCCCAGGCTGGATTGCAGTGGCATGATCTCAGCTCATTGCAATCTCCGTCTCCTGGAGCGATTCTCCTACCTCAGCCTCCCAAGTAGCTGGAACTACAGGTGCGTGCCACCATACCAGGCTTATTTTTGTATTTTTAGTGGAGATAGGATTTTGCCATGTTGGTTAGGCTAGTCTTGAACTCCTGACCTCAAGTGATCTCCCCACTTCAGCCTCCCACCCCAAGTGCCTGCATTATAGGCATGAGTCACTGTGCCTGGCCAAAAAAATATTTTTTAAATATACTTTTGTAGAGACAGGGTCTCACTATGTTGCTGAGGGTGGTCTCAAACTCCTGGCTTCAAGTGATGCTCTTGCCTTGGCCTCCCAAAATGCTGAGATTACAAGCAGGAGCCACTCTGCCCAGCCAGATAATTTTTAATATTCCTGTGTAGCCCTTATTGGTCTAAATTTGTTACAGAATAGCATTGTTTTAGTATAATACATTGAAATTGCAAAATCAGGTCCCTCTACAAACCAAATACCTTTAGAAACTGGCCATGTTTTATCATCCTGAACACAGTCTTTCTGTCATCCTATGAAAAAGATCTGTTTAAGAGATCATAAGAAGATAGTCCTTCAGCTTTCATAAGGCATTACTACTCTTACAACAAATTTTCTTTCTTCAATTTGTGGTATTTAGACTTCCTGTTATCACCATTCTTTGCACTTTTTCAGATTTGTGTTAAAGAGGAGGGAAGTGAAGGTAAATGAAGTTCTATGAACCACAAAGGCTTCTGTGGCCTAGGAAAGCCCTTTAGCACTGCATTGCTAGTTTTATTCTAGAAAAGCCCTTTAGTACTATATTGGTAGCTCTAGAAAAGCCATTCAATACAGTGTTGTTAGTTGTTTGTTTGTTTTGTTTTGTTTTTTGAGACAGAGTTTTTCTCTGTCACCCAGGCTGGAGTGCAATGGCTCAATCTCGGCTCACTGCAACCTTTGCCACCCGGGTTCAAGTGATTTTCCAAGTTCAAGCTATTCTCCTGCCTCAGCCTCCTGAGTAGCTGGGATTAGAGGCATGCACCACCACACCTGACTAATTTTTTTGTATTTTTAGTAGAGACGGGGTTTTACCATGTTGGCCAGGCTGGTCTCTAACTCCTGACCTCAGGTGATCCGCCCGCCTCAGCCTCCCAAAGTGCTGGGAATACAGGCGTGAGCCACCGGTTAGGTCTGTTCTAGAAAATCCATTTAGTACTGTGTTAGTTCTGCTTTAGATTAAGTCATTTAGTACTGTGTTGATAGTTCTATTCTTTTGACTCTCTGTGCAAAGATGGTATATCCTTTCTTGGTATGACAGCAGAAAACCATTTGGAGACTGGGAAAAAATTGCTTTTTCTCATTGGGATAGATTGGCATAGAGAATGTTTTCATACACAGCAGTTTCTTTTCTTCTGTTTTTACCAAGATTACAGCACTTTTTGTGCAGACTTCCACTTCTAATAAACTTTGGGCTGTGGTTATGTACTCAGTGGGTTCACTGGTTTTCTTGCTGTCGTTTGTGATTGTAGCTCAGTATATGCCATGTAGCCCCGTGGTGCTGCCTTTGCTGCACATTAGACTCACCTGAGGAGATTTAAAAAATCTACTACTTCTGGTTTCCAAGCCCAGGTGCTGACCTGTGTATTGAGACTTTTAATCAGGTGATGCTGATGTGCGGTAGAGTCTAGGAGCCGCTGGTCAATTAGGGCAACACCTAATTTTCCTTCTCTATTCAGTGGAGAATCAGACCAGCTGCCCATGGTCTGGCCTTGCCTGAGAAATGCCCTTCTGGTGGCGTCTTCTCCATCTTGTGATTATAGGGCAGAAAGTGGAGGCTCTGAGGAGGCAGTGATTCCCTCTGAGTCTTTCTTTGATCATCCCCTGAACAAGTTTTAATTTTCCTTTTTTGGGGTAATTGAAATATTTGGTATTAAATCACTAGGGAAAATCAAGTTTCTTTGATATTTCTGAGCCCTAAATGATTTTGAGCTCATGGTGGTTGGTCATTGGTGGTGTCTCCCCTGAAATGCATTTCTTACTTGCGTGATTCTGGATTCACAAAAGTTAGAACTTTCCTTTTTATTTAGTCTTTTTTCTTCTCTTACTGGTTTCAGTTTCAGTCTAAAGCAGAGAATGCTTGTTATCAGGATTATCTTTTGATCCAATTTTTTTTTTTTTTTTTTTTGAGACGGAGTCTCGCTCTTGTTACCCAGGCTGGAGTGCAATGGCGCGATCTTGGCTCACCGCAACCTCCGTCTCCTGGGTTCAGGCAATTCTCCTG